GTGCAGTGGGGCAGGAAAAGGAACAATGGATGTGAGGTATTGAGAGGTCATTATCAGCTTAATCCCACTTGCATGGCCTAAAGGTTTTCAGATGCTGCTTTGCCTCTAATGGTTTCCATCCTGACTGATTAAAGGTTCCTTTTGAAATAATCCGTTTCAAGAGTCTTTACTTTCCCAAGTTAGGAGAGGAGCCATTACAGGAAGAGGAATTCGTAGCTTGTGTGGGCACACACTTCAGACCTCTCAATACCTCACATCCATTGTTCCTTTTCCTGCCCCACTGCACAAATCTTTTAAACATTTGATGGCAAAACAAAGTGAGCCTTCATCCCAAAGCATATTCCCCCTTCTGAATTTGGATTAATACACAACCATATGAAATAGTATAAAATGGCCCTACTAAGCACAGTAACACCTTGAGCAGAACTTTGTGGGGAAAAAATTGATATACTGAATTTTTGGAACATAAGATGCACCAAGATTTTGAAGAGGCAAATTTTTTTTAAAAAAGATTTTGCACTCTGCAGACCGCCCAGAAATGGCCCATTTTTCACAAAAAATAGTCTGACTATTCCAGAATATAAATAAAGACAGAGGGCAACAGTTTTATGATTGGGAGAACTTTGTGTCTATGTTTAGGGTCCCATACTATAAATAAAGAGAATGGAGGACAATTCTTATGATTGAGAGAACTTTGCATCTATTTTTAGGGCCAGACTGATCACAGCTCAATGACAGAGCATAGATACTGCATATTCAGACAAAGCAAAGGAAAACTTCTGTTGGGATCATTGCAAACTTCTTCTCATAAATTATGGTCCATGAAAGTGGGGAGATTAGTGATCCTTAGATGCCTTTCTATATCCTAAACATAGACGTTTTTATAAGGAGCATTAGAGTCCTCCTTCATAGATAAGCTGCTCAGGATAATCTGTAATATGTTTTTTTAAAGGAGATCAAAGCACAGATCCCTAAAAAGGATCTCAATTTGCCTATTTTTGACAGGGTTTTTCAAACTTGCGATCCTAATATGTGTGGACTTCCGGAATTGCCCGGACAGCATTATGGAGGTTGAAACCTACACATCTTAAAAGTTGCCAAATTTGAAAAATGCTGATCTATCAGAACATCCAGCTCAGGGGGTATCCAACCTTGGCAATTCTAACTTATGGACTTCAAAACCGGCCGAAAAATGGGCGGGATGGGGCCAGAGGGTGGTGGGATTAGCCCGAACCTATCCAAACTGGCTGAATCCCACCTCTGCCTTTGAGGGGAGTGGCTGGGAGGCGGGGCTGGGTGTGATGACCGATGTCAAGTTGGCCATGCCCACCCAGTCACATGACCATCCGGCAACGCCCACCCAGCCAGTCATTAGGGCAGAGAACCAATTGTTAAATTATTTGAATCTACCACTGGCTGGATAAGAATAATTTCAGAGATGCTGGCTGCTCAGGTAAGGTTCTACCTCTTTCTGGCAGAAAACAATTTTATTCTAAGTTTTGATGAATACATAGAACTTAGTTATTTAATTAAAAAGGCAGGTGATTATTTGTGCTCTTCATTTTCTAAGTACAAGAGATGAGTTTAGAGTAAAATCTGGCATTAAATATTTAATTTGATGTTCTTTTTAATCTTGTTTATAATTGAAATGTGTACTGTGTACCGATGCAGTTCTGAAAAAGTGAGCAATTGCAAATTCAATGAAGGAAGTAATTCATTTTCATCTAAGCTCTGTTGTTTTTCAAAACAATCTCTTGTTATCTCACTGACAACCAGTAGCCCCCCCCCCCTCCTCACCGGAAAAAGGAGCTCTGAGTTAGAGGATTGCCTGTGAGATGAGATTAAGAAAAGAAAAACATTTCTACTACCTCAGTAAGCTTCTTTTAATATGAACTCCTTAGCTATTGAATGGGGGAAAGCTATGCAGCATACTTGCTAAGGGTGATGCCTGTACAGTCTTGAGAAGGAAGATAAAAGATACTTAATCTGAGTCTAGCTAATTTAGAAGACATCTTCTGTGCAAAACAATTCAAGAAATGTAAGCACATGTCTATGTTTAGGAGTTAGGAGATATCTCAGAGAAGAATATATTGTACTGTGACTAGTTTCTGGAAATTAAATGTCACTAAAGAAAGCTGGCTGGTGTCAAAGAATTTCGTTGTAACTCATTTCATTGTAGCCAATATCGTTGTAACCAACTTTGTTGTACACATGATGCACAATGACAATAAAGGCTATACTAGAAAAGTCAAGATGGTGACCTTTAAAAAAAGCTACACGCTTCTTGTAAGATGTGCATAATACAAATGGAAAAATCATGCAGGACTAGGCAACTGGAACTAGAAAAAAACATTTCAATAAACAAATCCTGTCAATAAAACATCGACCTGCTATTTTAATTTGCCCTTCTTTTACTCTGCCACTTTTCACTCTATACTACAGAGAGTGCTGGCTCAGTATCAACATCTGATTGCTTCAAGATTTTCAGAATTCAATTTTACTCATATGTGCAGGAAGGAAGGTCATTATAACAAGCCACTTAAACATTTGCAATTACTTGTTTCCCTATATTAATGTAAGAAGCAACAACTGTTCTATTCTTACATTTATTATGTCATAAATTCTTCTTAAAAACATCCAACTAGATATAAATATATCTCCCCTTTGCTGTATAGGTTCAATGTATGATCATCTCTTCCAATGGCATTTCCACAGTAGCTCAATGAGGTAGATTCGGCTACGATTGGGGCCCAGACATCCAGTGAACTTAAGTCTTATATACTTAGAGTCTAACTATCTAATTCCTATGTCACATGAGCATCCATTCCAAAACATTTATCAGCTGAAAATTGGAACACATGCTATATAGTTGTGCAAAGTTATACAAAATGCATAAATTAAGCTAAGTTTTTTATAAAATCAAATTGACTTTGTTTTAATTGAAGAATAGAACAGAACTCTTCTGGAATAGGAGAACAATTGAAAAAGTCATCCCCCGACATGCAGTGGATATCTGTTACATACCTCTTCATCTTTGTACCAAGACAAACTCTCTGCTGTTAAGATGAACCAATATTCCTTGGAGCCTCCTTTCATGATGCTAATGTTGTTGATGGTCAGCCAGCCTCGCCGGATGACCTGGAGGAAATCAAGAAGTGGGAGATGAGAAAGGGGGAAAAAAGAACAGATTAACAAATCAACTTCAAAGAACAAAAGAAGGAGAGGTATGTAACA